ATAGGTCCAGAAAAATACTAGAGGCTCCAGGAAACCTGGGTGGCCAGGTAGGTTGAGAAATTGAGTAGCACAAACAACGCCCAGCCCACACTGTGAAGTACCTCTTGGTGCCACTCAGCAAAACTCACAATTCCCTTTAGCCACACTCAGGTCTGGAAACAGAATTGCCATTGCTTGGTGCTCTCCAGCCACCATGTTTACTGCAAAGCATTTTGCAGAATACCCTGTATTTATACTGTTTATTGTTTTTCAGGCTTTTGTGGTCACGTGACTGTCATTTCCTGCTTGAGCTGCTGAAGGTTGCATTCTAAATTCTCCCTTTGGGAGGTTGGACTCAGCTGCTCAAAATATGCATAAGTAGAGTTGGTGGCCACAGACATGACCCACAGGCATCTCTTGACACAGGGGTGTTGACGTGGAGGTGGGGGCAGGCAAAACATACATTTTAAACACAAACATGCCCCTGAGTGGCAAACTTTTTTATGGATACAGAGGTGATGTTGAGACAGAAAAAAGAAGACACTGCCACCAAGAGGCTATGGAAGGAACTTACAGGAAGGGAAGGGGTGGGGGGAGAAAAAAGGAAGCTGCACAGGAGGGGGCAGTGGATGCCAGAGGGTGCACAGGGCAGGAGGCACTTGTCAGGGAATGGAGCTGTGAACCAGAAGGTGGTGTGGCTATGGGCATAAACTGTAAGGTGTTGAATTTGTGTTGCAAAGAAGTAGACGATTTGGAGAGAGCAGGAGGAAGTGTGTGGACACCTATATGCTTGGCTTTAGGGTCATGGATTTGACAGTGTGAGCACCTTGTGTTTTGCACAACTTGCAAGCAAGAGAAGGGTGTCTGTGAGATGAGGAGCTAGAAATACTGATAGTTTATGTAGACTATTGAGACACAATACATGGGGATTTCTTGGTATGTGTGTGTCTCTGGGAAACACATTGGAAAAGGCAGAAACAGGCAATGCGATGTATTTTCTTGATTTCATTTGTGTAATGGCTTTTGGGGATGAGAAAGAAGCGTTGCATTTAATGTGCATGTTGAACCTTGTGCCAAAGCAAAGATGAATGATGGAAGTGTATCTCAGAAGCGTGGCAGGCTATGTCTTCCAAGGGGATGTTCAGAGTTTTTATTGTTGGGCAAGGGGAGGACAATGTGGCAGCATCTGATGAAAGATGTGGGTCCTCCTAGGAACCCCCAGAGTTCACAGGGGAGATTACAAGACAGACCTGGGAACAGAAGCAGTAAAGGTTGACTGGAGGCTCCGTTAGTTGTTCAGAACAAGTCAAGGAAAAACACAAGCAAGTGGGGGAAATGGGCGTTAAGAATTCTATGCTGTTTAGATTAGGAGATGAGCCTGGGCAGTTATGGGGCTGTTGGTTTGGGTCATTTACACATGGGATATTTCTGGCACAAGTGTTTATAAAGAGGTGTTGTAGCACCTGGTCAAGTCAGAGAACACAAAAGCACATACAAAAGGAAATGGGGTGCAGCAACTTTACTGACACCATCTATCTATCTACCCCACCCATACACCCACCATCCACCCACCCACTCACCCATCTACCCATCCATTCACCCATCCACCCACTCACCCATCTACCCATCCATCCATCCATCTACCCACTCACCCATCTACCCATCCATTCACCCATCCACCCACTCACCCATCTACCCATCCATCCACCCACCCATCCACCCATCTACCCATCCATCCATCCATCCATCCATCCATCCATCCATCCACCCACCCACCCATCCACCTACCCATCCACCCATCCACACACTCAC